CAAAACTTGGAAGCAATGAAGATGTCTTTCAGTAGGTGAATGAAGAAACAAACTGTGGTACTTCCATGCAATGGAATATTATTCAACACTAAAAAGAAATGAGCTATCAAGCCACAAAAATATATGAAGGAAACTTAAATGCATATTGCTAAGTAAAAGAAGCCAGTCTGAGAAGGCTACATACTGTATGATTCCAATTATGTAACATTCTGGAAAAGGCAAAACTATAGACAGTGAAATCATCAGTGCTTGCCATGCTTGGGGTGAGGGAGAGAAGAATGAATAGGTGGAACACAGAGGATTTTTAGGGCAGTGAAATTACTCTGTATGATACTGTAATGACATTACATGTAATGGCATTAATGATACATGACCTTATGCATTTGCCAAAACCCACAGAACTGTAACAGAACTGTACAATACAAAGAGTGAACCCTAATATAAATTATGGACTTTAGTTTATAATAATGTATCAATATTGGTTCATCAATTGTAACAAATGTACCACACTAATTCAAGATGTTAATAATAGGGGAACCTGCATGGAAAAGAGAGAGTATATGGGAACTCTTTATACTATCCAGCCATTTTGGTCAAAGTTGTATTAATCTACTTTTATTGAGTTATGTATATTGTTTTAAAAAATATATCATTGACAATTCCACTTCTGGGTATATACACAAAAGAATTGAAAGCAGAGGCTTAAAGAAATATATGAACCAATGTTCATAGCAGCATTATTCACAATATCCAAAATGTAGAAACAATCTAAATGTCCCTAAATGAATGACTGAATAAACAAAATATAGTACATACATACAATGTAATAGTATTTGGACTTAAAAAGGAAATTTTGACACTTACTACACTATGGATGAAACTTGAAGACATTGTGCTAAGTGAAATAAGCCAAACACGAAAGGAAAAATATTGTATGCTTCCACTTATATGAAGTACCCAGAGTAATCAAAGTCATAGAAACAGAAAGCAGAATGGTGGTTGCCAGGTGCTGAGGGTAGAGGAGAATGGGGAATTAGTGCTTAGCAGGTACGAAGTTTCAATTGGGGAAGAGGAAGGTTCTGGAGATGGACAGTGGTGATGGATGCACAAAAATATTAATGTACTTAATGCCACTGACCTATACATTTAAAAATGGTTAAAATGATAAATTTTATGTTACGTACATTTTACAATAAAAAATTATGAAAAAAGTGCTAAAATACTGGTTATCCAAACAGCAAAAAAAAATCACTTCATTATACCATGCACAGAAATAAATTCCACATAAAAAGCAAAACTTTTAGAAGAAAATACAGAAATGTATAATTCATATCCCGAAGTAGAGAACATTTTCTTAAACCAGACACACACACCACAAAAGACAAGCCATGTAAGGGAAATTTTTCATAAATATGACATTAAAACTTAAAATTTATATACGACCAAAGACACTGGTAACAAAGAGAAAGGAAAAGCCTCAGACTTGCAGGATGCATGTGTAACACATATGTCCATCAAAGAACTACTATACAAAATAACTCACTCAACTGTTCCTCAGTGAGTAAACGGATACACAAATGGTGATTTAAGTATACAACTGAATAGCTCAGCAGTTAAAAATAAATGGACCAGATCCACGAGTAGCAACATGGTTAAAGCTCCATCAATTATAACTTAAAATATACACCTCTGACCCAGCAATTTTGTTTTTCATTCACTGTAGCAATGGCCATTTATGAGGAGAAGATTAAATAAATTACTATATAGTCCAATACATACTACATAAGAGATTATACAGTAGCTAAGAAGACTCAGGTAGATCCTTATGTTCCAAAATGGAAAGATCTCGAAAACATTTGTTGGGGAAAAAAGTTGCAGAACAATATGTACAGTATGAAGTCATTAATGTGGGGGGGAGGTCTGCTTTTTTCCTGTATTACCTATATAAATATGACAACGCATAGAGAAAGGTCTGGAAGGATCACAGCAAACTGATAACCAGTTCTGTGGGGAAAGGAGTCTGTCAAGGGGGCTTTTACTCTGTCTGTACTGTTTGAGTATTTTATAAGCAAGTGTGCATTCTGAGCCACTTGCAGAGTTGCAGCACATAGCCACTCCAGGAGCTGCAACGCACAGGGACTCTAACGTGAATGGCACCCCCTAAAGCTGGGCAGTATACAGCCTGCACAACTGGAGCCGCGGCTCTAATGCTTGTGTAATTAGAAATAAATAAAAGGAGGGGGAAATAGGAGATTAACTGCAAATCAGCATAAGGGAACTTTCTGAAGTGATGGAAAGTTCCGTATCTTGACTATAACAGTGGTCTGTTACAAAGTATACAGTAATCCCCCCTTATCCACGGTTTTCCTTTCATGGTTTGGTTACCCAGAGACAACCATGACCCCTAAAATATTAAATGGAAAATTTCAGAAATAAACAATTCTTAAGTTTTAAATTATGCACCCACCATTCTTAATAGTGTTATGGAATCTTACATAGTCCCACTCCATCCCACCTGGCATGTGAATCATCCCTTTGTCCATCGCATCCACACTATATAAGCTATTCATTTAGCAGCCATCTAGGTTATCAGATCTACTGTGGTATCACAGTGCCTGTGTTCAAGTAACCCTTATTTTACTTATTAATAAACCCAAAGTGCAAGAGTAGTGAGGCTGGCAATTGGGGTATGCCAAAGAGAAATTAATCTCTTATTGTGCCTAATATATAAATTAAACTTTATCATAGGCATGAATGTATTAAAAAAACATAGTGTATATTTATATATGGTTTCTTTATTAACAGCAGTTTCAGGCATCCACTGGGGGTCTTTAAACATATCCCTAAGGATGAGAGGGAGACTACTGTATACATTTTTCAAAACTCATCCAGCTGTACACAGGAAATCTGTGAATTTTATCATATGTAAAGTACACAGCAATAAAGTTGATTTTAAAACAAATATAAATATACAAATATCATTGAGAGAGCCTGAAACAAGGTGCCCAAAATTGCAGAACCTAGGTACCCTAAAACAAGAACTAGCAGATACCTGCTGGTTGCACCCTCCAGTCCTAAAACAAAAAAGAAATTAATTTACTTTTCCAAGGCTTTCTATACAATGCCAAATTTAGGTGAATATTACTTTTATTTTTTTGTATGAGGAAACTAAGGCCCTGAGAGATTAATATTAAAGACATAAATGGTAAGTTGAAATTCTATTGCTTCTAAGTCTAATTTTCTAACTATCAGTGGAAATTTTGTCTCTCAGGTATAGTGGACACCCAAAAACTCTGCCAGCATTACCTTGACTGCACAACCCCCTTCAAAGGCAATTCCACTTATGTATACCCTCAGAGAACTCATAAAAGGTCAAGTTTTAATTTGGCAGACAAAGTAACCCAACAGGCACTGCAACCCAGAGAACTGAAACAGCAGCCTGGAGCTCAAGAGTTCAGAAACCCAACCAAGACAGAGGACAGGTAGAAATCCAGACCTTAAAGAAGAGCAGAGACACAAACATTGTCTTACCATAGATCCAAGATCCAAGAAGAAGGACAAAAATGAAAAAGTATTCTCTAGAAAAAAGTACTCTCCTTCCTCCTCAAATGATAGAAAAAGCCAATGAGAGAAGGAACAGAAAGGGATGATCTCAAGCAACAGTCCAAGTAGCAAGCTTGGACTGCTGACAGTCCTGACAGCCAACATGCAAGAAACATGTCAAAGTGATAGCATGGCCACAAGAAATCAGGATTTCACCACCTAAGCCATTGCATTACCATGCCCAGACCTAAGAACCTGGGTTACCTCACACGGCAAAAAAAGAAAGGAGAACTTGAGGAACAGGGCAAGGCCATCAACCATCCCTAACACTAGAGTGATTGATACCAATCCGTGTAAAACGTGGCAAAACCTTGCTTCGTTCATTCATTCATGCAATAGACATTTATGGCTCGACTGTTGTGAGCTAGGCAACATTCTGAGGATTTAACAGTGACTAGTCAAGGAGCTTAATTCTAGTCGGGAAGGAAGGAAACTTCCTTTCTCTTTCCAAGTGTCTTTTTCCCCTCTCCCCCTTTAAATGTTACACAGAAGAGCCTTCAAAACTCTCCCAAATTTCTCCCACAAGCTTCTTTGACCTTTCCTACTTTATCCCCGAAACCAGGCAATTTATGGCTCCAATTTCCCAATACTGACAAAAGACAAAAGGGACCTAAAGTGAATAGGGCACAGGGCAGAAAATAGAACGCTCGCTTGTATTTTACACGCATACCTCGACAGTCAAATTGTCAGCACCTCAATAGCAGATTGTGTTTGCGTTTCATACTATTTCGTGGCCCCAGTGCTGACTACGGTTCTCTGCCCGTGGGAGCTAATCGATACACGTTTGCTAAGAATGCTGGAAGACCTTCCTAATCCCAAGGCCTGGCACAGGAATTTAACAGCAAGCATTCGTTAGCTGCATCCTCCCTCCTGTCAGCACACTTTCCTTTCACGGGTGACCTCGGTGGACAAGTTCGTTATTGGCCGTCTCAGAAAACAGTGTTTTGGGGTGATCTGAAATAAATTCCCTTCCCTCTGCCAGGGCCTGCCTGCCTCACCTGCCCTCTGCCAGGACCTGCCTCGTTCGCCCCTTCAGCACCTAATGCAGCGCCTCCTCCCAGCGAGCGGGCTCCTGCAGCATCAGCTCGGCGCCCGCAACCCAGCTCCGCGTCCTGAGCCCACGGCGCGCTCGGGACCCCGGCGACCCCACTCCCCCTCAGCCCGGGCTCGCGGCATCCCCTCAGCTCCCCGACCGGGGCCGAGCGCGGCGCCGTTCCTCGCCTCAGCCCCGCGCGGTGCAGCGGCCCCGGCCCCCTGCGCGCCGGCCCCGCCTCCCCCGACCCCGCAGGCTCCCGCGGTCCCGGCGCAGCGCGGGCTCCCTCCCCGCTCCTCGAAGACTTGAGGCTGCAGCCCGGTCCCCTCTCCCGCAGCCCCCCGCGGCCGCCGCGGATCCCCACCTTGCTCACTTCCCGCCGGAGCTGGGGGCGTCGGTAAGGTCTCCGGCGGCCGCAGTCTCCTCCGCCCGCTCCGGCCCGGCCCCCTTGCTGAGGCGGCGGCGGCACCCACTCAGGCCCGGAGCCGCCCCCGCGGCGAACGTTCCCGGCTCCCGGCTCGCGCCGCTTCCCCGCCCGGCACGCGCAGCGAGCCCGCCCCCGGCGCGAGGGCGCGAGGGCGGAGGGCGGAGGGCGGACGCGCGGACGCGCGCCGCCAGCGAGGGCGCGCGGCCGGGGGCGGGGCTTCCGCCGCGCCGAGAAGGGGGCGGGGACGCGGGCCGAGTCCCCCTGAGCCCCTCCCTGCGGACGCGCGGGAGCCGCCCTCGCCACCCCCTGGCCCGCGGGGTTCCGGGCGGGCAGGAAACTCGCCCCTTCAGGGCTTGTCACCGCGGCCGGCGGCGGGGCGCGTCTCAACTCCACAGGTACCTGCCGGCCAGCTGGATGCTCCCCGACGTGACTACGAGGTAAAAAATGCAAAGAACCACCCCCGTGAATCATTCATCCGCGCCTCGAGCCTAAGAGCCTTCCCTGAGTGACTTTCCAAATGAACTCAACTCCACAAGCTCACTGAACAGTGGCCGTGTGCCTAGCGCCGTGGCAGGAGTCGTGTGGGTGCACAGTCACGGTCACGGCCCTGGGCTCGAGGAGTGCATAGCTCGGCGGGGAGACAGCCGTGTAAACAACCAGGGCCGGCGACCTGCGCCAAGCCGAGCCACGGTGAGATGCTGCGCGAGGGCACAGGAGCAGCAGATTACTTCCGCTGGGAAGACGCGGAGGGGTTCCTGGAAGAGGTGGCATTTGTGTTCAGCCTTCAAGGAAGAAAAAGAAGTCCTGAGAGAAAAACGGAGAGCAGAAGCCTAGGAAACAGCTGAGGCAAAGGAGCGCGGGGGATGGGGGGCCAGGCTTAGCATCTCAGCACCAGCTTTTTGTTTTTCAATATTATCCACGTTTTATAGAATCCTTTCCAAACTACGTGAAATATAGGAGATGGTGCCAGGTTAGGAACAGCTAAGTCATTTTTTAATGGCCCAAATGGTCATTTTTCTCAACGTTATTTAAGGCTTGAAACAGCAACGCCCATTATGGGCTATTGATAAGTGAGTGGTGAGTGAAGGCTGTAAGCTCCCAAGCTAAGTGACCCCGGGCCAATATGCTTTGAGTCTGATTTTTTCTTGTTTTTTTGGCTTTTTTGGTAAGATCGTGCCACCTCCTACTGCTGTCTGCTTGCCTGCCTGCCTTTAGAACATCTTCCTCCTCCTCTCATCTTCCTATTTTTAAACTGCTATGGTTAAGGAAATGCTGATAACCAAGTTTGTTAAGTGAGAGTAAATAGGTTCCTTAGAAAAAGGCATCATCTTCCACACATGAATTGTGCAAGTATTTTTGCATGTTCGAGGAGATTTTCACTTGTCTCCAGGGTCTTGTCTATGTTCTGAACATGTTAAGATACGCAGAATACCTGCAAGAGACATCTAGTTTATTCATCTACCATTATTGAGCACCCACTATGCAGGAGACATTGAAAGGGTAAAACATTGAGTCTGTCCTTTGGAGAAAAGATGTGTAAATAATGTAAAATAAATATGTAAATATTTCTTAATATGTTTGCCCTACTGATTGAAACCAAGGGAATTTCAATGTGTGGGCTAGACTCCTGTAAGCTATTCTGGGGATTAACTGCTTTAAGTACACTTGTATTGGCATCTCTCCATCTCTGTTCTGTATTCAACTCCCACAGCCTCAGAAAACTTTTCAAACCTCTTTCAATCATTCTCCCCTTCTCACTCCAAAGTTATTAACTTCTCTTACCTTCTTGTCTTTTTCCTTCATCATCTGTAGATGCTCAAACTTTGCCTGTCTTAAAGAAAAAGAAACCCTTTCTCTGTCCCTCCAGCTTCTGCTTCAGTAACTGCTCCCTCTCTGTATTTTCCTTCACAAATGTCTTGAAAATAGTCTACACTCATCTCTCCCTCCTCAGCAGCTCCTCACTCCTCGAACCATGGCTATGTAGCTTCTGTCCCCAGCACATCACTCTACTGCTCTCAGCCATGAATATCTTGTTTGATCCTAAATGCCACAGGCCGTGTTTGAGTCCTCATGTTACTAGAACGTTCAGTGGCATTTTACAACACAGAGCACTTTTGACTCTTTTTGAAATTCCCCTGGCTTCATGACGTTACCCCCTTCTTAACCCCTCTGACCACGCCTCAGTCTTCAGGATTCTGTCCTCAGCTCACGTCTCAGTCACACATTCTCCGTGGGTCATTTCAATCACTCCTTGTCTTCGCTTGCCATGTACATCAGCAACTCCCAAGGGCATCATTTCTAGCTCAGACCACTCACCTGGGCTCCATTTTCACAAAAGCCTACCAGACTTCTCTACTGGGGTCCTAGAGACACCTCAAGCTCTACATGAGTGAGCTTTTTATCCCTACTGTCCACCTAGTTGCCCAATTCAGAAGCCTGAGGGCCATCCTCGATTCCTTCTCCTTTCTCCCACCTCACACCCAACAACCACTAAGTCCCATTGATTCTACCTCAAAACTAACTGTAGAATGTTCCCCTCTTAGCCCCTCTCACCTACGCTAATGCCACAGCCTTTTATGTGGTCTGCCTTCTGCAGTCTTATCACTTCTGATCTATCTTCCAAACCACAGGTAAGAGAAAACTTTCAAAAACTTACTACCCCTGGTGTCACTGCTTAACACTTCCCTTAATCTACCCCTAGCCTATCTCTCCACTCCATCTCCTGCTGCTTCCTATACACAAACCATCCAAAGTCCTGGAATGTTTTGACTTCCCCTTGTCTCCATACCTCTGTGTTTCTCTCTTTGGAATGTCGTTTGAATACAAGCAGAGAATGTCCAGCATACATGTAGCTAAAGTTCTACATGCTGAAGCTGTAATCCAAGAAACTTTCTGGAAATAAGAAAATATAAACCTATATAATGGAAGGGTCCAAATGTACCTGGGGAAATTGCCAGAGAATAATCAACTCTGAAAGCTATACTATTAAAACTATTAGACAAAAATAATAATAATCTTCAATATCTCTAGGCACAAAATTCAAATTATTTAAAAGGGTAAGAATCTATAATCCCGGCACCTTGAGAGACCAAAGAGAATCACTTGAGCCCAGGAGTTTGAGACCAGCCTGGGCAATACAGCAAGGCCCCATCTATACAAAAAATAAAAATAAATAAAAGGGTAAGAAAATTGGGCTTCAGTGCATTAAAGATGGTTGCAAACTTTTTATTACTGCATTTGATCCAGGCTGGCCTTACTGAATTGCTTGAACAATAGATTGTGTAATGTTTTGGGATTTTCAAGACTAGGTCATAAGAAATCTTGAAGCATGCACCTGGGTCTTTGGGAACACTTGTTCTTAAAGTCCTGAGCCGCTTTGTAAAATATCTAACTCCCTGTGGAAGGGTCCTGAGACTCCACGGAGAGGGACAGGACCTAGCTGATCCTAGCTGATGTGAGTGAAATCATCATGAATGCTCTACATTAGTCTAGACATTAGCTGAACACCACTCAGTGACCTCAGTTGAAGCCATGTGGAACAGAAGAACCATCCAGCCAAGCTCTACCCAAATTCTTCACCTCAGAGATTATGAGATTATAATCAAAATGGTTATTATGTAAAACCATTCTTGTTTTAGGGTAGGTAGTTTATTATGGAGTCTGGTAACCAAGATATTTGGCATCAGACCTCTCAAGAGCAACATACAAAGCAAGGCAATAGTGATACAGCATTTTCGGTGTTTTCTAGAAACTCAAGGAAAGAAGATGGATTTTATATCCATCCATCTGTGCTGTTTTTCAAGCATCAAGGCTATAAAAAAAAAAACTTATGAAATGCAAGAACTCCAGGAATACTATACATATAAGCCCATGTAAGTATGTACTAGAGCAAGGGTCAGCAAATTTTTCTAAAGCATCAGATAGTAAATGTTTTAGGTTTGGTGGCCTAACTATCCCACCCTGCTATTGTAGCACAAAAGCAACCATGGATGATATGGTTCCAATAAAATCATGTATAAGGAAACAGGCATCAGGCCAGATTTGGCCCATGGGCTATAGTTTGCCACCACTATGCTAGAAGAAAAGAAATAGAGAAAGTTACTAAGGAAATACCTAACAAAAAAGCGCAAGGGCCATATGATTTAGGAAAATGGTATAGAATGACCAAATGGGGTTTACATATTAGTCCACCAGGGCTACCATAACAGAGTACACAGACTAGTGTACAGGCTGAAAGAACAGAAATTTGTTTCCTCACTGTTCCGGAAGCTGTAAGTCCAAGACCAAGGTGTTGGCAGGGCTAGTTGTTCTGAGTTCTGTCTCTGGTTTACAGAGTGCCAACTTCTCCCTGTGTCTTCACGGGATCTTCTCTCTATTCCGTGTATGTCTGTGCCATAATCTCCTCTTCTTGTAAGGACACCAGTCATATTGGACGAGGGCCCACCTCTAATTACCTCATTTTAACTTAATTACCTCTTTAAGACCCTATCTCCAAATACAGTCAATTCTGAGGTACCAGGGATTAGGACTTCAACAACCTAAATGTAAAACCTAAAACTGTAGAACTCTTAGAAGAAAATGTAGGTACAAATCTTTATTACCTTGAGTCTCGCATAGCCTTCTTAGATACAACACCAAAAACACAAATGGCAAAGGAATAAATAAGTAAATTAAACTTTATCAAAATTTAAAGCTTTTATGCATCAAAGGACATCATCAAGAAAGTACAAAGACAGCCTATAGAATGGGCACAAATGTTTCCAAATAATATTTATAATAAGGGACTTACATCCAGAATAGATAAAGAATAATTACTGCACGATTTTAAAACAAATAACCCAATTAAAAAATGGGCAAAGTATTTGATCAGACATTTCTCCAAAGAATATATACCGTTGGCCAATAAACACGCATAAAGATGCTCAACTTGATTAACTATCAGGGATATGCAAATCAAAAACACAATGAGATACCACTTCACCCCTACCAGATGGCTATAATTGAAACCACGCACAATGACAAGTATTGGTGAGGACGTGGAGAAATTGGAATGTTCATACATTGTTGGTGGGAATATAAAGTGGCACAGCTGCTATAAAAAAATAGTTTGGCAGTTCCTCAAGATGTTAAACATGGAATTATTATATGACCCAGCAATTCCACTTCTAGTTATATATCCAAGAGAATTAAAA